AGCCTTAATCCGCCTCCAACGTTCCGCCTGATATTCCAAGGGTCCCATGGGTGGGCGCCCCTGAGCATCGGCTTGAGCTGCAGCTCGAGTGAGCACAGCCATCACACGGGCGGCAGGTAGTAACGGTGCGCACTCCGGGTTTAGGATGTTACTTTCAGGACAAGCACCTAAGTCAGGCTCTGGAACATCGCTGGTCAGGACTTCCTCATCGTTCACCTTCTGGACGCCCACTTCTGCATCCTGGACCACCTCTGGCCGCTTCGTCCGCTGTTCCTGGATTCTGGACACGACTTCCAGGTGACGGATTTCTTCGTCATCTTGAACCATCCAAGACTCCCCGAGAGCGAGTGTCTTGGATGTTAAGTAGTCAGCTGCCTGATTGAAGTCACGTTTGACGTGCACCAGCCTGACTGTCTTGAATCTCTTCCGTAGCACTTCGCACTCAGCCAGTCTCCGTTGCCGATTAGGCTGGTTGCAGTTAATCAGTCCTTGAACTTGCTGGATCACGATCCTCGAGTCACCTACGACAACAAGGTCCTGGATGTCGTGTTCACGTGCCAACTTCAGGCCGTGTAACAATCCGTAGTATTCCGAATCGTTCACCGTGACATCATCCAGGATATATCCTCGCGCTTCGATGATCCCATTCGGGAAGTCGCCATAAGATACAACCGCAGCTACCCGTCCTGGTCGACGTCTTGGCGGCTCTGTTGAAACTTAGGACGACACCTTGGTAATCTTCCTCGAGCATCTCGATACTCACCACTGGGGATGCCTTGATACGTTCCTTGACCGGAATCAGAGATTCGGCAATCTCGTCCAAATGTTCTCTGGGTGTTATACCAGCACCCAGGATGGCAGACAAACCGTCTTCATCCTTCTGTACCTTCCGGATGTCCAGGTCGTACTGTGATAAAGCGACGCCCCATGGCACAGTTCGCCCATCCGCAGTCTTGGACCCGATCACCCACTTCAACACCGAGTATCGTGTGTACACCACGAGTGGACAGCCTTCGATCAGGGCCTTGGATGTTCGAAGAACCCGAATGACGGCCAGAACTTCCTTCTCAGCAATGTGGTACTTGAGCTCAGCATCATGCAGGACGCGTCCCGTGAACCGCACCGGCTGGATCACTCCTTCGTGTTCCTGGCCTAGGACCGCACAAGCGGCCCACTGATTAGCGTG